CTTCTGTGTCTGTAATAGAAGTGGGAAGTCAGCAGGAACTGGGGAGGGGTTGGCAGACACACTTGGAGGAAAGGAAAGGAAGGATGACCTGGAACCCATGAAGATGAACTAGAACATACCTCTACTTCTTAAAGCCTCTAAGGCTCCAACTGTAGTAACGCGAATGGCTTGCAAACAGGCTGGCATCCTTCCCCAGAGAGCTGCACACCCACCTGCACCATGATTCCAAGTAGCTAATGGAGATCTGGGGAGCTCTGGAGGAGCTGTGGGCCTGGCTCTAACTGCACACCACCGGGCAGGTTAGCCATAGTGCCTAAGGCTGCAGTAGTACCAAAACCTACACCAACCTTCTCAGTGGGAGCATGGCCACTTCACTTTCACTTTCTAAATCTCTAAGAAATTTCTTTTGTGTCTAACTCCAACTCAATACAACACAGGAAAGGAATTTCCAGGAAACACTGTTCCGATTTAGCTAAAACAAAGCCACCACATCTTGATAAGCTGCCTTCATTTCCCATTGTGCCCTGCCCCGCAAACTGGTAAAAGAAGACACCCTGATAAGCCATTTCCTCACTTCAAATTCAGCCAATTTCTTATTTGAGAAAAATTGTGAATAGTATCTTTCTAAACAAGCAAGCATCTTTACATACAATAACAAGCACTATGCATCTTTACTCATTTATTCATTGTTTATTTTTTTAAAAAAGATTTTACTAATTCATTTTTAGAGAGAGGGGAAGGAAGGGAGAAAGAGAGGGAGAGAAGCATCAACAGGTGGTTGCCTTTCATGTGCCCCTTACTGGCGACCTGGCCTGCAACCCAGGCATGTGTCCTGACTGGGAACTGAACTGGCGACCCTTTGGTTTGCAGGCTGGCTCTCAATCCACTGAGCCACACCACCCAGGGACATTAATGGTTTATTCTTAAGGGAATGTCTAGCTCTCTATATGTATAATATTCATTCACTGAATCAAAGATAACATAGTACTTTTAATAAAATAATAGATTTGAGTTTTACACTGGGAAACATCCTGTAAAGAGGATAAAAAGACAAGCTATAGAGTGGGAGAAAATATTTGCCAAGCACGTATCTGCCAAAGGACGTGTACCTACACTAAATATTAAGACTACAGTGTGTGTGGCTTTTTTTGTGATCCACAAAAAAACCCTGAATATGCAAAAAAGAACAATCCCAGAGGCATCACACTTCCACATTTCAAAATGTATTCCAAAGCTACCATAATTAAAATAGTGTGGTATTGGCATAAAAACAGGCACATAAACCAAAGGAAAAGAACCAAGAAGAGCCCAGAAATCAACATACGCATATAGAGTCAAATGATCTTCAACAAGGGTGTTAAAAACATACGATTAGGAAAGGATAATCTTTTCATAAAAATGGAATTGAGAAAATGTCTACACACAAAAGAAAGAAGTTGAACCCATATCTTACACCATATACAAAAATCAATTCAAAATGTATTAAAATTTTTAATATGAGACCTAAAACTGAAACACTCCTAGAAAAAAGGCATAGAGGGAGAAACTTCATATTACAGGCTTGGCAATGGATTTTCAGGTAGGCCATCAAAAGCGCAAGCAATAAATGCAAAATTAGACAACTGAAACTACACCAAATTAAACAGCTTCTGCACAGCAAACAATCAACCAAGCAAAAGGGCAACCTGCGGAACAGGGGAAAACATGTGAAAGCCACATATCTAAGGTTATTAATAATCTAAAAATATAAGAAACTTTTATAACAATACAAAAACAAATAACCTGATTTGAAAATGGGTGAAGGACATAAGTAAACATTTCTCAAAAAAACACATACAAATGGCCAACAGGTACACGAAAAAATGATAATATCCTAATTATCAAAACACAATCATGCAAATCAGAACCACAGTGAGGTATTACCACACACCTGTTAGGATGGCTTTTATAAAAAATAAAAGAGATAAGTGTTAGCTTGGCAAAAATGTGGAAAAATTCAACAATCTGGAACCCTTGTACCCTATTGGTAGGTACGTAAAATGGTGCCATCACTTTGGAAAACAGGTTAAAGGATCCTCAAAAACTTGGAAATATAATTATGATATGATCCAGCAACCCTACTTCTGTGTGTATATCCAAATAAGTTGAAATCAGAATCTTGAAGAGATATATGCACGTCCATGCTCATTCCAGTGTTATTCACAATAAGCAAGACATGGAAACAAACCACTGAAGTGTCCAATGTCAGATGAATGGATAAAGGAAAGTGGTATATGCATACGATGGGTTATTCAGCCTTTAAAAAAAACAGAAGGAAACCCTGTTCACCTATGTTGCCATGTGTGACCACACAGATGAACCTGGAGATCATTATGCTAAGTCAAGTCTGCCACTGGCAGAAGTCCACTCGTGAGGTATCTAAAATAGTGTAACCTGTAGAAACAGATCAGGAAATGGCAGCTGCCCAGAGCGGGGCTGGGAGAGAGCAGCCGCTGCTGCACAGTTTCAATAATTCAAGAGAAGTGGGTGGGAGAGGCCCCGGACGGCACGGTGCCTGATTGTGACAATGCTGTGCTTCCACTTGGAGATGGTAAGTCTCCCACTGTGTTCTTACCGGAATAAAAATAAAAGTAAAAAATTTTAAATAGTTCCAAATTCTCAAAGGTTTTTGTTCAAGTGGGCCTAACTTAAGATACAGTTGAAACAGTCTGCATGTATTTCAAAGGCCACTTGGTGTTTTTACCAATTGCCTAAAATAAAAATCGTAAGGGCATAATCTATGTAAAGCACCTAGGCCAACGCTCGGATCACAATGAAGAGGCAGTCAGTGTGATTTTCTGTCCCTCCTTGCAACAGTCTGTAGAGCTGTGCGGGTCTAGCGTGGTTTATGCCACCCCTTCTGCATGCCCAGATTTTTGCTGTTGCATCAGTGGTGCCATTTAGCCTCAGGTGACCATGTACTAAGGAAACTTCCAGGTCTTATTTAAATCCACGCCTGTGTGTACAGAAAGATTAGTGTGCTTTCTGTTTCTGAAGAGGAACCCATCCTTTCCAATTAGTGCTCTGTTGCACCCTAGGTTTGCAACTCAACCTTCTCAAAATAAATCTTTTATAAGTATAAATTGCATAGCCAGTAAGATGCAGTATTCAACGAGCAATGCATCTCAGGCACCAAGCTGCTTTTTATAACTGGTGGTTACAAGAGTTGTCCCTGCTCCCCGACTCCCCTTCTCCTTTGCCCCTGTTCTGCCACCTCCCTGCTAACTTTCCTCTTCAGTGGCCTTGGCTCATTGTCTACTCCCCTCCTGCCCTCTTTTCTTCTGCCCCTGACATCTACTGCATTAATTAAAACTAAATAAAATATAACAAAACTTTTTAGAGAGTCAAAGAAGTGAAAACACCCTTCCTCACCCTCCACCAATTGGGCAGAAGCATTTGACATTGGCCTTTTTAAACGGAAAATACTCAGAACAGGGACCTTCGTGGCTATTGTAAGTCTCGCACACCTCATGCTGTGAGCGTCAGCACCTTAAATTAGCAGACAACCCTCACTGTAATAGATGAAAAATTTGACCGGTTAGGCAGGTCAATCTAACGTTAAACATTTATATTTGTGCCATCTAAGGAGATGTTTAAGAAACATTTGGAAAACTGAAAGTACTGAGCTACTCAGTAGCTGGAGCCCCCCCCCCCCCCCCCGTGAGGTCTTTTGACAGGTGACTCTGATGACTTAGAAAAGGAAACCATAGCAATTGGCAACGATTCAAGGGCTTTTAACTTTCAGCTGAAAACCAGAACCACTTTCCAAGAGGACAAATGTTTATAAAATATTCTCTTCCGAGTCAAATGTGCAATTTCCTCACCCTCCTTAAAACATTACACTTTCAATGGAAAGAATGAAGTCAAAAGCCCGTGAATTGTTGCCAATTGCTACGGTTTCCTTTCCTAAGTCATCAGAGCCACCTGTCAGGAGACCTTGGCCTCCAGGCCAGAGCAGGCTTTTCAAATTGTCTCAAATAATCATTACCGTAAAGACGGGCTCATATTACACCTGTTAAAAAAAAAAAAAAAAAGGCTTAAAACGCTGATGACACTGGACATTTTTTCAATAGTTTTATCCGAGACATTATAAGCTCAAATGCTGAGCCAAATTATAAGGGGTCTGAATCAGGCTCATGGTGTATGACAGCACTTCCCTCGAACCAGCCCTTCTCCCCTTCCACCTGAAGCTAGTCCTCTTTTAAATTGAAGAAAATTCTCCACCCCACGAAACTCTGGCGTTTCCTCGGTCCCTTTACACTTGATTCACACCAGAAATGCTGAATCACGACTCCGAGGTTGCAAAAGTATTTCGACCGGGACGCCAGGGTCCCCAGAGGATCCCACGCATCTGCACGCCTTTCCTTTGCACCTTCCGAAGTCTAAACCGGGCTCTTTCCGCACACGGGAGAGGTGCTGGGAGCGCAGGTCCAGAAAGAGCCTCTGCTCGCTCCGCTGCTTCTCCCCCAAACTCATCACGCAGCCCTGGCAGCTCCAGGCTCCCGCCTCGCCTCCTCGGAACGCGACCCCTAAGGAACTAACCCCCCCACCCCCGCCAACTGGAAGCTGCAAAACACCTCCGAGAAATTCCCAACTTGGAAGCATCGCCACCCCAGCCACCGGTTCGGGGCTCCGCGGGTCCGCACTTGACCACGTTCGGGCAGGGGCGGGGGACGCGGAGACGGCGCCTCCAGCCCGGCTCCAGCCCTCGCCCTCCGAGAGCCCAGACTCTTGGGAAACTCCATCGCAACTCCCAGCCCGCGCCTCCCCGACCGCCTGGGAGCCCAGAGAATCGGGGCCAAGGTCCACGGAGCCGCGCGGGGCGGACAGCCCGGAGAGGAGGGAGGGGCAGGGGCTGCGCGAGAAGAAACGCCCCCCGCGCTCGTCCGGCAACTTCTCGCCGCCCGGCCCGCGAAGTGCGGAGCGGCGGCGGCGGCGGCGTGCGCGCGGCGAGGACTCACTTGAAGGTGAGGACGCAGAGCGGCCGGTAGGACTTGTGGCTGGTGTTCTCGGCCATGCCCTTGCCCCAGAAGTCGTTGGCGAAGATGCTCCAGCGGAGCGGGGTGCCGGGCCGCAGGTCGGGGTTGTTCACGATCGCCCACACGTCGTCGTGCACGAACTCGCCCTGCAGGGAGCGGCCGTAGCACAGGCAGCTCGCCCCGGCCAGCAGCGCCGCGGCTCCGGCCGGCGCGAGCCCGCAGTCCCGCCGCCGGGAGGGCTCGCGGTCCTCTCCGCCGCCGCCGCCTCGGGCAGAGCTTGTCACCACCATCGCGCCGCCACCGCTGTCCTGGCCTCCGCCGGGCGTCTGGCATCCTCCCCGGCCGGGGCCCCGGCGGCGCGCGGCGGCTGCCTGGAGGGGGGCTCGGGCATGACGCGGCCGCTGAACCTGCCGCCGGCGCCCCGCGCTGCGCCGCCCGCGCCTCCGAGTTGGCCCAGCTGCAAATAAACAGCAGTCCCCCCGCCTCCCCGGGCCGCCGCCGCCTCCTCCGCCCCACTGCGCATGCCCCGCTCGCTCCGGGCTCCGCCGCCCCCCCCCCCATCCCGGGACCCGGGCCGCTGCCCCGCGCCCGCCGCCCGCGCCGCGCTCGCCGCAGGGCTCCGTCCCCGGCGCTGCGTCCCCCGGCGGCGGCAGTTGGCGCGCAGGTGGAGCGGCGGTCGTGGCGCGGAGCTGCCGGGTTCCCGCCCGCCCGGCCCCCAGGACCACCCCATCCTTTCTCTCCCACCCCTGCCGGGGCCGAGGACCGGGTCCCGCAGCCCCCGCCGCCCCACAGCCCCCGCCGCCCCACAGCCCCCGCCGCCCCGCAGCCCGCCCTCAGAGGCAGAAGTGGCCGCTGCCCGCCGGGAAGTTGCAGGCTTTTCAGCACCCGGGACAACAGCAGCGGCGACGCCTGGGGACCCGCTTTCCCGCCCTGTGCCCGCGCTCGGTCCCGTCGCCCGAGCCCCATCACCTTCCCTGGCCTTTCCGGCCCCGCAGCCGGCGCTGCGCCCCGCGGTTGCGGCGTCGGGCGGAGGAGTCCGCGGGGAGCGGGGCTCCCGGAGTCCCTTCCCGCAAACCGCGACAGAGGGTCTCGGCGGCCCCGGGCTTCCTGCCCGCCTCGCCCCGTTGGCCCAGAGGCGCCACCGGCTGTTTTCCTTTACCTTCCCTTGGTCTGTTCGCACTTAGAATAAGTCCCAGGTTCGATTTTTGGTTTGAGTCTGACGGTAAATTGGTTTCTGAAACATTTCCCCTCGTTTTATTTTTCACTGAAACTCTTGAGATAATACAGGAGATGCCAAGCAAATTACTTTTTCTTCCCATCTAAGCTTACCACTTGGATCTGGTTATACCAGGCTATGGGAGTGTTTGTACTGTTCCTACTCAATCAATAGATTAAATAATAATAATAATAATAATAATAATAATAATAATATAATAATAAAAAACAACTGCGTGAAGACCTCTGGCATTGGCTTCTAATACTCCCATGTTTCTGAAAGGCTTTCTTTTTAAAAAAATACTAATTATAATATGTAAATGTTAGGTGAAAATTATTAGAAATTCACCAGGTTTGAAAATTCTTTTAACTCTTTGAGGCCCTTTGTAAATCTCCATTGCTGTGTTACTGAACTTACCTGAAATTTGACATGCCCAGACAGAAAAACTTGGAATATAAAATTCACCATTTTATTCCCATTCCTCCAAAATCCTTAAAAGTTTTATAGATCTAAAAAAAAATAGTAAAACAAGACATTGTTTTCATACTGACTGAGCATTTGTGTGACTTCTTTACACCACTAACTTATATATTTTATTTTTAGTTTAAACATATGTCTGAATAGTTGAAAACCCAACGAATTAAGACAAATGTGTTCCAAGGCGGGATGCATTTCACCACTGCACTGTTTTTTGGTGACTTGAAAGTTAGTGACTGAAAAATGTTTTCATCTTAGCGTCAAAAAAAAGCTAGCCTCAGTAGCTTGAATATCCAGACTCCACACGCACCTGAACATCCTACAGAACACACACAGCCTTTCTTTCTTCTTTGCCTATCCATTAATTTAATAAAAGTATATGAAAGGTATACCTTAGGCTACAATGTGCTAAGTACTAGGCTGGATGACCAAAGCTGCTCAAAATGTGTGTGTGTCTGTGTGTGTGAGGTCAATACAAAAGTCTCACTTTCTAAGTTAACAGCTGAGGAAGATAGTGAAATTGTCCTTGCTGAAATGGTAGCATGTATAACAGGCCAATGTATCAATCTTGACCTATAATAAATAGGAGCTTTCTAGAGACAATGTCTCACTCCCAATGAGGTACTCTAATCATCGATTTTCATAGACAGCGGAACTTTCTCCCTTAAATCACCTTTAACCCCGGTAGGAAGCGCAGTCCCGCCCACCCCTGTGTGTCTGCGCTGTTCTCTTTAGATGACGACAGTGTCACAGTTCTCTGTGACCGTGGAAGAAGAGGATAAGGACTCCAAAAAGAAGTGGAAAGGGGAAGACACAGGCAAGCCTTGACGTGGGATTCCAGATTTCTGAGCACAGAGAGTTCATTATGCTTTTCTCTGTGGCATCTCAATTCTAGGTAGTTCAGATGATAAATTTTGGATTAATTTACCTGAAAATAGTAAGATACCTCAAGTCCTTTTAAGGACAAACCAGTACGTATTTTTCAGACTATAAGACATACTCCCCCCACCAACAAATTTGGGAGGAAATGGGGGTGTGTCTTAGAGTCTGAATGTAGCTTTACATTTACATTGGTGAAATATTATGTTATTTATGTTATTAAATATTTTACCACATTTTTGCTTTAAAATTATTTTTCCTATTTTCATCCTCTTCTAAAACCTAGGCATGTCTTATGGTCTGAAAACTACAGTAAGTATATGCTTTCTGAAATTCAACACGTTCTTTGCGGCTCCATCATTTCTGATTCAATACTGCTCTGAGGTACAAGAAAATACTGTAAAAGTGTTAATGTCAGCTTTACATTGCTACATCAGCCCATAATCCCTTCTGCTTTTCTCTGAAGGTATAAAGCACTCATCTTGACTAATCAAGGGGCCCAAAATAAAATTAGATTTAATTCTTGTCGCTTAGCTTCTGATTATTTTAAAGGATTCATAATTAAAGCAGTATTATCTCCTAAGATACCTTTTGTCCACTCAGAGCAATTTAAAACATAAATTATTACAGAAGTGCCTCTATGAAGCTCATACAGATCTAGTCACTTGTGCAAATTTGGACCAGATTCCTGAAAGAAATGAGGACACAACTAAAAATAAATCAAGGGCAAGTAAATATTATAATAAAACAAATGTCAAGTTATTGCACTATGCTTTTCAGCTTTATATACCTGTTCAGATACACCCTATATCAAGCAACAAATACAATGGTACAAAGGCAGAAATTCAGGAAAAGAGCTGATAACATAATTTACATTAAAAAATAATTTTTGTTGCCTCGTTACTTAACTATTATTGTTAAATAAAATACAGAAAAGTAGAAAGAAGAACAAAAAATTAAAATACACTCACCCCGCCACCCCACAGGATGTGCCATAGGACAGACAGCCAATCCACACTCTAAGAAGCTGGTCCAGCACCAGTGGGCAGGGCTGTGTGGTCTGAGGGAGGGCGGGGCCCAGACCTGGGGCCAGGCTGGTGGCAGCCGGGAAAGGAGAGGAGAGGAGCCCCTCAGTGGAGGGAAACTGGCTTCCCTTCTGCCCCCAGAGCCAATCTCTGGTGTCTGCACAGAATGAAATAAAAGACTTGTCAAAAACTGATTGTGATCTTGCTATTTCTGGATGGTGGGCAATAAACCTGGTCAGCAAATTACTACAAGATGAAAGCGTACACATATATGTCACGAGAAAGCATATCGAGTCTAACTAGATTTCTTCAAAGAGTTTAGAAACTCTGGTTTGGAAACCTGAGGCAACATTGCAAAGCAGTGTCCGGAGTCTTAGAAACAGAAAATCAATGCTGAGATTGTTGTACCTAACAGAAAAACAATATTTTATATATATGAAATTTTAATTACATACATTTTATTTTACATTTTAATTGTATGCAAATCAAAAAGCCACTACTAGGGTTTGTACAGCCTACAGAAAATGTCAGAGGAAACACTAAAATGCCATTGTGTAAACTCACCACTAAAATTAAATTCACGCCACACCAAACTGATTTGTAGTAAGTTGCACTGTTTAGAAAACCTATTCCCTCACTATCATCAGCTCTAGAAGCACTATGGTTTATACTTTGAAATAATGTGTCAGAGATGTATCCCAGTGTGGTCACAATCCACTTTTAACAGCTCCGTATCAGATAAGCAGAAAGATACTTCTCAGAATTAAACAGTATCCAAAAAAAAAAAAAAAAAAGTCCTGATCTGGGGCATTTCCTGACCCGCACTGTGCAAATATTCTTACCACGGCCAATTTCAGGCCACTGCTGTAGTGCCACCTAACACAGGGCAGGGGAGAGAGGCACAGCAGTGGCAGCATTCCACAGGATGTTCATCACACAGACACGGGAGCTGTTAGTTGGATTCAGAGCATGTGAAGAGCACAATACCATAAATGATTAGAAAATGATGACTTTTGAGCATTTATTATCTTTGTTTAATCTAATTTACATAATTGTAAGTTTATATGACTTAGTTTTTATGCTGACTGCATTTAACAATTAGCTTACAAACTTCCTAAAAATTTAACCATCAGTTTTAGTGAACTAGTTACAAGTTACTCTAGCACACTATCAAATGAAATAAAATTGACCATTATTGCTATTATAATTTTTATTTATTGATTTTTTAGAGAGAAAGAGAAATATCAGTCTGTTGGTCCACTTATTTATGCATTCATTGGTTGATTCTTGTATGTGCCCTGACCAGGGATTGAACCTGCAACCTTTGCATATGGGGACAATGCACTAACCAACAGAGCTACCTGGCCAGGGCCAGTATTAGAATTTTGAATATAAGTGATAAGTACGGGCAGAGGCAGGGGAGGGGCATCATTATACTTGTGTAGTGAAGAATTAACCATAAGAGGGGTCTGGCCATTGCCCTTGGCGACTGGGAGATGGTATCTAAGCCCCTGGAATGTCCTGAGTGACAGAAGGGTCTTTGTTTGCTGGGGCTTTGGCTACTGGACAGTCTGACAATGTGGTTTATGATTAAATCTCTTGGCTGCCCAGTATCAGTGCTGACCTCTGAGAGAACTGGAGACTGAAGGTATTAGCCTGACCTCTGGGAAGGCCTAATGGCTAACAGTCAGCCCTGCGGGCAGTATGCCGTGAGCCCTGGTAAAGCCTCTGAACACCAAAGGCTCCTGTGAGCTTCCCTGATTGGTAATACTCGGTGCATATTTTCATACATTAATACCAAGCAAGTGACAAGTCCTGACTCATGCAGAGGAGACAGTGAGAGCTGTATTTGGTACTTCTTCTGCACTCT